TGTGAGCAGCCTCCATTGACTTCAATGCGAATTTGTGTTTTGCGCGACTCAAACCGCGCGATAAATCGCCTAGGTGTGCACCGGCCCTGACATAGAACTTTTATTGATACTCTTGGTCAGGGGTTTTATGCTTTCCATGTGTGTTCTCTAAATGTATCTAAGAAATCAGTCGTCCACCACCATGTAATCACCTCGCTCCAGTTTATTATGCTCTTCGTCTGTCCGCCTCTGTACATGATTATTAGAGTGCAATCTGCTTTATTGTTATTAATTAGGCGGTTACATATTTATATGTGGCAGCCGTGCAAAGTACAGTTCTCTTCCATTTAACGCTCCCTCTCAGCTCACTGTGTCCCTGTGGGCACTTTGGAGATTAAAAGAGAAAAAAAAAAAATGCTTGAACTTCCGTCAGTGGAACCGCACTGCCATCTACAGGTCACCGGCAAGGGAGTGTCATTGTGCATTGATGTCCAAGCGTCTCATCTTATGTACCCTAAATTAGACATGTCAGTTCCTATCTGTAAAAAATAAATCAAGGCAACTGGACCTGCTGTATTTCTCTTGAAGACGTTTCGCTGGTCATCCGACTAGCTCTCTCTAAAGCGAAAAGAGCTTTGAGAAAGCTAGTCGGATGACCAACGAAACGTCTTCAAGAAAAATACAGCAGGTCCAGTTGCCTTGATTTATTTTTTACATTTATACCATGACCTGGATGCAGGGGCGTAACTAGAAATCACAGGGCCCCATAGCTTCTTCGGCCATCAGTGAAAGCCGCCAGCAGAGGATCCCATAGCGACCCAGGCGGCCCACACGGCATCTGGCCGGGCACCTCTGTGCCCGGGCCCCATAGCGGCCGCCTGGGTTGCTATGGTGATTGTTACGCCACTGGCTGGATGAATGAACCTTCACAGACACATGTGAATTTGGTTTCCTTCCGAATGCAAATTCAGATGAAATTTCGCCCATTGGGACATTCAGATGCATCCGAAGGTCTGAATTCTAATGAGGCCGAATGCAAACGAATCCGCATGTTCTTTCAACGAAATTTAAAATCATCTGAATTTCGTTTAAAATGAAACTACATGACCGCACCTAGGTCCTGGTGATTGGCGCATTGTGGGGAGGGAAGGGTAGTATGTAATATGCTCTCCATATCTGCAAGCTCTAGGATTTTCACATCACAGTGGTGGATGAACGACATGGCAGGGAGCTAAAAGGATAGGTGAGTGTATGCCAGTGACGTGTGGCACCTCATGTTCCTGGTGAGGCATTCCCCGCCCTCTGCCGGACGAAGCCCCACCCCTACAGGACGAAGCCCCGCCCACAACCCTCCCCAAGCTATTGTGAAGGAGGAAGGGAGGAGCCACCCTGTCCCTCACTAACTACGTGTCAAAAGCCGGATGCAGCGCTGCCTGTAATTAACAGGCAAGCGCTTCATCCATGACAGGTTACACAAGGGAGAGGATTTCCCTGCTCTGTAACCTGATAGAGGCCGATCTGAATGGAGAAAAAGCTGTCAGCTTCAGACTTGAAGCTGACAGCTTTTTCCTCCATAATTCTAGGTGAGGCTCCGCCCCCACCTGCCTCCCCTGACCGCATGTCCCTGGTGTATGCAAGGGGGCATTGGCCGATCACAATCAATTATTATTATTGTTATTATTATTATACAGGATTTATATGGCGCCAACAGTTTGTGCAGCGCTGTACATTATAAGGAAGACATAACAGTTACAATACAATTCAAGACAAGATGGTAAGGAGGGCCCTGCCCCTGCGGGCTTTCAATCTAAAAGGGAGGGGGAAGGGATACATGAGGAGGTAGCTGTGTGGGGATGAATTGTTTGAGAATGTGATGGTTCAGTGGTTAGGTTGAGGTGGGATAGTGACCCTATCAATAACCATTGGGAAACTCTTCTGAGTCTTCTTTCTTCTGTGACAGCATTGGTCATTGTGGTCACATGGCCGCGCTGACCAATGACCGCTGGCCATTGCAACCATCATGTCGCTCCATAGCTTCCGGGGCTGTGCAGTGAAGTTTTAAAGTGCCTGGACCGATATTGCGGTTGGCGAGGGCAGTGGGAGATCCTGATTGCAGTAGCTAAGCGAAGCCGGATCCGGTGTGGGGTGGAGAGTGTGTTGTCAGGTGGCTCACCTTTTAATTTTTTGGTGAATTTATCCTTTAAGTGAACCGAGAACTGTTTACGGGCAAATCACGGGATCAATTTAGGGCTCACAGGAAGGGCCCGGCCAATGGCTGTCTACGTGAAATTCTATGCTTCTAACCTTTTCGCAGTAGAGACCATAGAGATTATCAGAGGACCGCCTGCGCCCCGCATTTCCTGGATCTTATAAAGATAAGAAATGTTATTGCTTTCCCAGAACATACAAAGTTTCATTGTCCAGCTTTCATTGTTCAGGTTGGAACCCACCTTTGGGCCTCACGTACGTTTTTTTCCCGACGCCCCTTTCAATAAAGGAAGGAATGCGGTCTGTACACGACGCACATAAATCTTCCTGCAAACAGCATATTATTCAGTTTAATCCGCATATTATATAATATTATGCAGATGTATTATCGCTGTTCACTAATGCCTCTTAATCACTGTACAAATATCAAACCCCCGCAGCAATAAGAACTGCCAATATTATGTGCTCTTTGCATTCATATCTTCCCCTTGGAGGATTGTGTTTCTAAGAAGAGTCCCCGCAGATGGCTGACCTTGGAAACATTTCCTCGAGCTGTACGTTGTCTTGTTTTCCTCTGAATTGAATGTAAAGCATATTCCTGTGAAACGTTGTGTACCTGTGACGGCCTTTTGTCGTTGTTATGCTGCTTTGGAATAAAGAATTAGCATTCTATGGTTTGTAAGGTCCATGGGTTTGTAGCCGGGAGTGACTCATGTCTGAAGCTGGTCATAGAGTTCATAGAACTATCCAACTGTTAAGAACTTCTCATGATGTCTTTTGGATCAGCTTTGGCCATGGCCCAGTTTTGGCTATGCAAGGTGAAAGCTTTGGTCCTAACTATGTCTCTGTGAAGGTTCTCATTTCTCCAGGTCATAGTATACCTCGTAGTATTTAGCCCCATCCAACTGGCCTCGTTCTGTAGTGTTAAAGACGTTTTGTAGTTCCTCCAAGCAACTTCTTCAGTTCCCGCACCAGTTTCATGGTGCACACCCCAAGTTAATTGTCAATTTGTCTTTGAAGCTTCTCACTTATCCAGCTAGTGGTTACTTCCAACTGGCCTGGTTCTGCAACGTTGAAGATGTTTCATAGCTTCTCCAAGAAACTTCTTCAGTTCTTGCACCAGTTTCAGGGCATACATGCCCCAAATGATTACCAATGTGTCTGTGAAGGTTCTCATGTATCCAGGTCATGGTGTAGCTAGTAGCAGTTGGTCATATCTAGCTGGTCTCGTTCTGTAGTGTTGAAGCCGTTTTGTAGTTTTTCCAAGGCACTTCTTCAGTTCCAGCACCAGTTTGAGGGTGTACACCCCAAAATGATTGCCAATGTATCTGTGAAGCTTCTCACTTATCTAGGTCGTGGTGTAGCTAGTAGTGGTCACTTCCAACTGGCCTGGTTCTGCAACGTTGAAGATGTTTCATAGCTTCTCCAAGCCACTTCTTCAGTTCGTGCACCAGTTTCAGGGCATACACCCCCAAATGATTATCAATGTGGCTGTGAAGGTTCTCATGTATCCAGGTCATGGTGTAGCTAGCAGTAGTTGGTCGCATCCAATTGGTCTTGTTCTGTAATGTTGAAGATGCTACACAGCTTTTCTAAGGCACTTGTTCAGTTCCTATACTAGTTTTAGTGTATACACCCCGAAATAATTGCCAGTTTGGCTGTGAAGGTTCTCATTTATCCAGGTCATGGTTTAGCTTATACCATAACTGGATAAATGAGATCCTTCAGGGACACATTGGCAGTTATTTTGGGGTGTATACACTATTATTATTATTATACAGGATTTATAGAGCACCAACAGTTTTGCGCAGCGCTTTACAATATAAGGAAGACATTACAATCACAATACAATTCAAGACAAGATGGTAAGGAGGGGCAAGTGGTGCATGAGGAGGTAGCTGTGTGGGGGTGAATTGTATGAGAACGTGATGGTTGAGTGGTTAGTTTGAGCTGGGATAGGCTTCCCTGAAGAGATGAGTCTTAAGGGATCGCCTAAAGGCAGTCAGAGTGGGAGATAGATGGACAGGTTGGGGTAGAGAGTTCCATAGGATGGGAGAGGCTCTAGTGAAGTCCTGGAGGTGAGCATGGGAGGAGTTGACGAGGGAGCTGGAAAGTAAAAGGTCTTTTCAAGAGCGGAGGGGGCGGTTAGGGTGATACTCTGAGACCAGGTTTGAGATGTAGCCGGGGGCAGAGTTGTGGATGGCTTTGTAAGGGATTGTTAGTATTTTGAATATTATCCTTTGGGCTTTTGGAAGCCAGTGTAGGGATTGACAGAGGGGGGGCGGGGGATGGAAGCCAGTACATGGATTGGCAGAGGGGGGTTGCAGACATTGAGCGGTTGGCAAGGTGAGTGAGTCTAGCAGCAGCATTCATGATAGACTGAAGGGGGGAGGAGCCTGTGTAGAGGTAGGCCAATGAGGAGGGAGTTGCAATAGTCAAGACGGGAGATAACAAGCGAGTGGATGAGTAATTTTGCGGTTTTATTGGTGAGGAAGGGGCGTATTTTGCTGGTAGTGGTATAAAGCTGAGGTAGTCGGTCACATCCAACTGGACTCGTTCTCTAATGTTGAAGATGTTTTGTAGCTTCTCCGAGTCATTCCTTCAGTTCCTAAATATCTCATTTTTTTGTGCCCGACTGTCCTCTGTGGAAGGTGGAAATTTTCAATGAAATATTTCTAATAATGTAACTTGGTATCTGTTTGTCACCTCATCATTCTCTGTTGATCTATAACATTACACATTTCTACCTTCTAATTATGATGTTTGCCTCCTACACCTCAACCAAACTTATTCTCCTTCTCTGTTTCTCGCAGCCTCCTTGTTCATCATCGCCATGCTCCTGGGGAGCCTGAACAGCTGCTGCAACCCCTGGATCTACATGCTCTTCACCGGACACCTTTTCCACGACCTCCTGCAACGTTTCCTCTGCTGCTCAGCGCGATACCTGAAGTCCAAGCAGCAGGCCAGCGACCTGAGCGCCAGCCGGAAGAGCACCTCCTCAACCTTCGTCTTGAGTCGGAAGAGTTCCAGCCAGAAGAGCATCACCCAGCCGTCAACAGCGTGACGCCCGGTGGTTCTTTTCAGGAGGGCCGATGGGCCAGACATGAGGGTGAACACAAAAGCTTGGAGGACAGAGACTTAGGGACAATAAGGATTATCTTCCTTGCTGTGGGGGTGATGTTAAATCGGAGGCAAGACAGGAGACTAAAAGAGTAGAGTTTTTGGATAAGGGCACCTTCTGGATACACAGTAAATGTGACTGTTTTGTGGCTTGCTATCAATGTTTGAATCAATGGCAGCAGCTTGCAGTCTTGAAAATAAGTTTCTTCTTCTACACATGCCAGGAGTGCCCTGGCAGAAAACACGAGGAGGTCAGGGGGAAATGGGGAGGAGAGACCAGTCTGGCCATATTTAATAGAAAGTATTCCAGCATCACTTTAGATGTGCATGCATCTGGCTAGTTTCTGTAGATCAGGGTCAGGCAACTCCAGGCCTCCGGCTGTGCTTTAACTACACATCCCATCATGTATCTGCCTGTGGGAGTCATTCCTGTGGCTGTCAGAGTTTTGCAATGCCTCATGGGACTTGCAGTTCCACAACAGCTGGAAGGTTGTTGTTTCACCCCCCTGCTGTAGCCCATAGGTTATAGCTGCTAGGTGTACCTGGGTTTCAGGGGAATTGGGGCTTCTGTGTCCTGGCAGCAATGTAGACAACCTGTTAGGACACACCAGCCCTAACTCAGCCTTAGTTCAGGCTTTGTAATGTTCTCCATCTTGTTTCTTTTACAAACGTCCTGAAGAAGTTGGGGGGGGGGGGGCCTTTTTTTTTGAAAGG